ATATAACAAATACGATTGTGTGCCCCCATGGGTCAACTGCTTCGTATTACATTATCGCACATGATGTGTATTGCATATATTAAGGTCAAAACACGTGTGTACACGTGGTATATTTTGTTTTGTTTTTCTTAATATTATATTTTCTTCTTTGGAAAATTTTTATATAAGTTAGCAATCTTGGAATGTAGAATTAAGATGTTCCTCCAAAATTTATCGAAAAAGGTCATTTGGATGTAGGTAAAGCCCCTAATTGATGATCTCGACATCGAAATGGATGAATATGAAAAAAAGAAAAAAGAAAAAAAAGAATATTCTGACTTTAAGAAATAGTGCATCTTGCATAACATTATCTGGATCATTCATTTTGAAGATTTTTATGTCTTTATTGATCGACTTGACTTGAACCATTTTGGGAGTGTGAAATTCTATAATTAGAGATAAACGCAGATTTTCAAGTCATCCTAAAAAATTTTTAAACCAAAAATTACATCTTGTGATAAAATTTAGAGGTGTACCTTAATTTTATCGTTTAAAATTGCAATTCTTATTTGTCAAAAAAAAAATTGATAAAACTGCTAATGTGTGAAAGCTTGTTTCCTATTATGGACTGGGAATATCCTAGTATATAGCAAACATAAACCCTTTGGGTTTTTACGTGATTAGTATTCCCATTTTATGGAAAAGAAAACCCATACAAATACGAAAACCAATATTTAGGAGGGTTATTTGGGTATCCGTTCGTTGTTCCTCTTTATAAAAATAATTTTGTAAAAAGAAAATTCGAGATACAAAAAAAAAAGAGAAGGGTTAGTTTTTTTCCGTCCTTAAATGGGTGTTCTAGAAAAATCCCTTGTATTCTCCATGTATAAAACTTTATCTTATTTTTTTTATTTTTTCGCATTATTTTTCTTTCCCATTATTTTTCCCAAACCTTGATTTTTATCCTCTCCAGCAACCTTATACAAACCACAAATTTTAGGGATACTAAGTCTACTTAACAGCTATGCAAAGAGATATTCTACTCCCTCAGGAGTAGAAGCTATGCATAGAGATATTTTCCTCTCGCATGAGTACATTGTTCATTTACTCCCTAGGGTAATGGCTATTCTTGGATCATGTGATTCGTGGCTTGTTGTGCACACGTGTCAAGGGCTTGTGCAATAAACATGTTGCTCTTCTCCCATGGAGCAAGAAGCACTTCATTGCACAAGCATTGTCAAAAAAAAAAAAAAGAAAAAAAAAAATGAAAAAAAAAAAAAGTGAAAAAGAAAACAAATAGTGCAAAGGTTTAACTTGATGATGGAGTACTTTGAAAATATTAAATGGAAATTGATGTAAGTTAAGGGGAGAACCCACTGAATTATTTTGCACAATTGAATCGGAAATCAACATCATTTTCTATGGTCTCTTTGTTTCTCCAATTTTTACAAGACACATAGGCATATACCAGAATCTAGAAGATTTTCCTAGAGAGAGAGTCTGTATCTTTTTCTCTTCTTCTTGCTTCGTCTTCTATATTGAGAGAGAGTGGGAGACCAAGCTGCAGATGGCACAAACTTATGAAAGAGAGAGAGAGTGGGCAGGGTACAAACACGAGAGAGAGAGAGGGGGGCATGACACAAATGGGAGAGAGAGAGAGGGGGCAGGCCTGAACTAGTGGGAGAGAGCGAGAGAATGAGATGGCAGGGTTAAACCAGAGAGAGAGAGGGGCAGGGCAGCTAATTGAACTAGAGATGCCATGTCTACATCATCATGACAAGCACTGGATTTAATGGTCGAACCAACAACTTCACCAATTGATTCTCTTTAGAGCTCTTGATCTTTTCTTCTTCAAAGGTAGATTCAACTATGAAATCCTGTTCATCATCATGGATTGGATCCATATGATCTTGTTATTCATCTTAGCATGTGTCAAAAATCGGTGGTGACCCCCAATTTACAACTCGTTGATTCAAGAAACAACTTGATGAAACAAAGATTCTCCATGGTCAGCCTACTCAATATCACAAACGAAATTGTAATCACATGCAGCGAGATTATTTTTCCTTTAGTTGTCAGTCAAATAATGCTTGTCAAAATCAAGAACGTCCACTTTCAAATAAAAAACCTTAGTGTGATGTCCTCCCTGTCTAGGTTTTTTATCACTTACGTCTTTATTTGACAATTCAGGTAGTGCAAAATGTTGAACGCGGTAGTACAAGACATCTTCTTGGACAAAATTATAACCGTCATGCCTATGAGTGATGTAGGCAACTTGTAATGCAAGTTGCCGAACTTGCCTTTTGAGATCTTCAATCTCTTCATTTTGGCACAGCTAGGTAGATCTACAAATGATTCTCTCCCTCGGCTCCTTCTTGTTGCCATGGATTCACTAAAATCAAAACCCTAGGTAGAAAATTATCAAATGCTAAGTCGAAATTAGCAAACCCCTAGGTGGAAATCAACAAATCCTAGACTGAAATCAGCAAACGTCCGAACTTGAAGTCAGCATATCTTAGACTGAAATTAGCAAACCCTAGGCTTTAATAAACAAACTTTGCTCTTGCTTATCACAAATCCTTTGCTCTACGACCATTCAATGGAGAAAGAATTTCATGTCGAAGAGAATCAAATTATCTAATTACTGAGAAAACTAAAGAGGAAAAATGCTTGCTAGGATCCAATGGCCAAAAATCTAAAAACTCAACTCTACATTCTAAATTCTTTACATAGAACCCTACTAATAGAAAAATACTTTACTTAGAGCCTAAGAAATCCTATTCCTAATTAAATAAAAGTCCTATTTAAAATAAAAATTGTAATAACAATAGTATCCTTAATAAAATAAAATATTTATATAAGCATTCTAACTAACTTTTTTAAAACCTTTTGAAATTCTAAATGTATATATGAAGAAAAATCAACTAGAATCCCTGAGAAATGTTGAATCGTCAATATGTTAGGTGGGTAGGCTTCTTACAAGAGTATAATTTTGTCATTTGGGGTATGGCATGCAGTCAGAACAGAATAGTAGATGTTCTAAGTGGAAAGTTAGCTCTATTGATTACCATGACATCCACAATTACGAGATTTGAGTTTATGAACGATTTTTATGCTGATGATGGTGATTTCAAGGAGATATGGGTTCAATGCAGTGCTGGGATTAGTGGAGATCTTTTTATTCAAGATAGATTTCTTTTAATCTATCTTTTAAAATGTGATCATATGTGCATAACCTAAGTTCCCTTGGAGATACTCTTATAGCAGAGCCTCATGGACGAGGTCTTGGTGGACATTTTGGGAAAGACAAAGCCATAGTACTAATAGGGTCTAAATATTACTAACCTAGGTTGAAGATGGACATTACTCGATTTATAAACCAAAATATGCCAAAACAAGAAGGCGGTAGTCCAGATTAAACCTGGATTGTCGAAATTTTAGAGGAACGTATCGTGCTACTGAACCCTATTGGCCAGTGTCACACACCACAGTGCTAAAACATGGACATTTCAGGTTTGTGCCAGAGATCGCATGAAATTTGATGTTGTGGTCTGATCAAAATAGGATGCTTTCTTGGGGTTACAATTTGTAATTTTCTTCCTTTTTTTTGCTGCCTACTTCTGAGTTACTAGTTTCCTAACTGGAATATTTGGACCTAAAATGGGATATTTATGATATCTAGAATATCTAGATAGTACTTAAGGCATATTTTGGAATATTTTAAGTTGGACTATGGTCAAGATGGACTATAGTTTAATGTATTCTATGATGTAGTGGGATAGTGTATTACAGATGGACTATAGTTTAATGTATCCTACGTAGTGGGATAGTGCATTTTAGGGGTTTAGAGTTCATAAATAAATTTATATTTGGAGGGGGTGTCTGCAAGGATGTTAGCACGATTTTTGTTTTGGGTCTTCCGCAAATTAAACAAAGTATGGGCTCTATATTTGTGGTAGTGGATAAATTTAAAAAAGTGGATAATTTATAAATCTTCAAGGCAGTAAGATTGCATGGTACTCATAAAACGACCTATTCAGATCAGGACACTAAGTTTCTCAACTATTTTCTAAGGGATATACAGGAAGAGTGTTGGCTAATTTATAAATCATCAAGGCAGTAAGATTGCATGGTACTCAGAAAACGACCTCTTCAGATCAGGACACTAAGTTTCTCAACTATTTTCTAAGAGATATACAGGAAGAAATTAGGTAATTGATTACAGTACAGTAGTGCCTATCACCCACAAATAGATGGGCTGATTGAAATAGTAAATCGTACTCTAAGGAATCTTCTCAGATGTGCTGTGGGGGAAAAAGAAGAAATAGTGGGATCTAGCGCTACCTCAAGTGAAATTTTCCTGTAACAGTGCTCGTAGATTTTGAAGTGGTATATGGGTAGAATGCTACCCGCTTGCTAGAGTTGGTTCTACCCATAAGAATGGGCACGGTCATACTAGTGCCAATGCGTCCGTTGAGCATATGAAAGAAGTTCATGAGTAGGTTTGAGCTAATTTAAAAGCTAAAATGGCCAAATAGAGAGAAGCAGTAAACAAACATGGTCCTTTTAAGATGTGTAATGGTGTATCTCGAGAAAGAGAGGCATCTGGAAGACGAGTACGACAAACTAAATGACAGGTTAAGATCTGAAAGAACATGGGCAGCAACGTGTATAAGGTCTCTTTATATTCACATTTTGAAACTTCCGACAATTTTAACATTATTGAATTGTTCGAGTATCATAGGCTAGAAGTTGGTAAAGATGAAGGTTCAAACTTGAGGGAGAGTTCTCTTTAACCAGGGTAGAAGTGATGACATGCAAAGTATGAGTACTGAAGGTTCTCATCTATTGCAGCAGTAGATTCTTCTTAAGCCATCATCTATTTGGAGGATATATGTCCCAAACGAGTGAACAAGAACCAATCAAATTATTTTCCTTAGTGGATCTCATAATTTCAGTTTGTTTTTAGTTTAAATTTAATTTCTTTTATTGTTTTGTTAAGTGAGACGCATCCTAGGTATTTTATTTTTAGTTGGGGTATTTTATATTAGTGATTTTCGTTAGGACTATCTAATCAATCTTATTTTAATCAAGGGCATTATGGATTTCATACTCTATATGGGATATAAAGAGAGATGCATCGAGGAATGGGGGCCATTCACGTGATTTGCAATAGAAAAACAAAGATTAAGTATGTCCTTGGAGCCTACAGGTTTCTTGACTTGAGTGCTTGTATCTCGCTTGAAATTGCTCAAGTTATCTGTTTTCTAATGGAGTAGAAGATGGAGATATGTTTTGGTAGAAAACTAAACTACAGAGTACAAAAAATGTAACAAATATGTTGACTTCCCTTGGTGCATTATTTCTTTGGGGCACTGAATTACTGGATAATTATTGACCAAATGTCAACATATTCTCGAGGCGAACTAGTTAGAATGGAAACATATATTCAATGGGGAAAGTGTTAAGAAAACATGACAACTTTCCCTCAGAGTTTAGGACTCCTACAACGAGTCAAATGATTAGAGCAATCATAATCTACATACATTGACGATGGGGTTGGGTCGTGGTGGTAACACCGCTTGTGCCCTAGCTAACGTCTAGGCCTCTATTCTAACATAATGCATTCAAATACCACTAACGATTTCAAAAAATGGTAGGGGCCTTATCATCCCCAATGAATTACCCAAAAAAAAGAATAAATACATTCTAAAATCATGTTCAAGAGGATTTCGATAGAATATACTCATGTATATGTCTTTTGGTGTTTTTCTCTATATTTTTTGTTCTTCTTTGAGCAATAAACTTAGAAACAAATGAATGTTTTTGTTGTAGCTTTTTTGTCAATTTTTAGAGAGGTTAAAACCCTAATTTAGGGCACCTGAGGGAAAACTTGTTTCCATACTGAATTTGTTTCCACTTTAAACTCTCCTTGGAGCTCTCACAGCTTCAATCTAACTTAAAAGAGTCGAATGCTGATCAATTTGTCGTGATCATCTTATTTGTTCCACTTTTTCTTCACTTTATTCTACTCAAATCAAATTCTATAATCTACACCTCCCTCTTCTTTTGGGTTCTTACAGCTTGAATTCAACTTAAAGAGTAAAATGGCGATCATTGTGATCTATATTGGTAGCTCATGATAATGACTGGAGGTTTGAGTTATGATAAAATTCAAACTTTGGCTATGTAAAATATGAAACCACATATTACCAAAGTCCTATAAAAAAGAGAAAAGGTTAACATAATAAGGCCAATACTTTATGGAAAAAAAGTAAAGCCTCGTCTCAAAACTCGAACTCACCGAAAATTATAGTTTTGGTGGTCACAATATCTTCAGATTGATCATTTTGACCTTCATCATTATGGTTCTGAAAAACATTAAGATTTTATGCCAATATTCTAACACATGATCTAGACCATCCATTTCAGTGTTCATGGATCCATAAATTTGGTACCATTGTTTGAGCTACAAATTTCATCATCGCTGATCGAAATAGTTTTTTAAGCCATCTTGGGGATTACCATGCCCCAAGTGTTTCCCAGACAAGATTTTGAGGCAAGGATTTATTTATTTTTGTAGAAACTGCATCCCATAATGAATACCATCAACTACAACAAAAAATAAATGTAGTCTCTATTATTTCATAATGGACAATGAATACAAATATTATCAAAGAAACAAACAATTCAGGACAACAATGAACTTTTGAAACGAATAACACAACAATATATCAGAGGTCCATTCTGACAACATACTGGTACAATAATTAACACACAAGATCACAAATACAACACAAACCACCAATTCATAACTCCTCATTACACAAACAAAGACTCCAAAACCTTGAGAAAACCGCACGATTCACCACTCATTTAGACAGAAAATGCAGAGAGAAATCAGTACACAGTGGGGGGATAGCTCGAATAAGCTTCAGGATCTCCTCTGTTCAAGGCTCTTTCAAGCCTCACCTCAAAAGGAGTAGAGTGCCAATTCACTCTCTTATCCTGCCAAACACGGTGAATATCAATTTTCGACATAACTAGAAGCAAAAATCTCTTGAAGACCCAAAATTACTGCCCATAGAGAAAACCAATACAAGATCTTAATTTTAAACTACTGAAAATTCAATTTTTTTGTTCACTCAACTAATGCTTTTTAAGAAGTAAAATATTTTAAAACTTAAAATCCTTTTGAAACACCTAATCTTTTAAAAGGGAAAAAAAATCTCAGCTTGAGTTCACTTGAAATGAAGCCCATAGTATCAAGCTCAATTAACTCTGTTTCGAAACCCAAATGTAAATCCCAAAATATCTATATCTCAATTACCTCTGTTCGTAAACCAAAATGTCTACAAAACCCAAAACCTCTTTATAGCCCTACATCTTTTTCAGACCTTAACCTTTACTTATTGAAAGAAACAAACAAAAACAAAAAGGAGAACCACAATCAAAATTTTAAAAGAAAGAAAATACAGAATTCAGGGTAAAACCAGCCTAAATACACTAGTGTTTCAGTGCAGTTACCTCTTTGTATTTGCTGGTTGTGTTCGGTATTCCTTCTGTGCTGGAAATTGGGATCCGAGAGCGTAAATTCTTCTCTAAGGTTTCCTGGTTCCAATAAGTCCCCACTGTGCCCAAAATTGGCATTTCATCAGGGCTTCTACTTGGAGATTTCCTTGGTGATGATGCCTGCTTAATGTTCTCAACAGTTAAAGCCCCCAAAATAGGCCTCTCATCTGTGTACCTTACTGATTTTACAGAGGAAGGAGAAGATTTAACTTCTTGGGTTGGTTTTATATCTGATAATTTTGATTCTCCATTACCTGGTTTTCTTGGATTTAAAGTCTCCAATGGGTTTAACCAGTTTGAGAGGCTCGTATCCACTGCCATCTCTTGCCTGGGTGTTTGCTTTTGGAGCTTGAAACTTGTTTCTGAATTTAATTGGATCTGAGGTTTTGGGAGCTTGAACGTTGGCTCTGAACTAAATGGAATGAATACCTCTTCATTATCGAGCTTTGCGTTTTCCTTGCTCTGTTTGAATAATGGAGCTTTCTTTGTTTCTTTAGCCTTGAGAGTTTTCCACTCTGAAAGATTCTCCACTGGGTTTAAAACAGGGTGAACATATCTACTCCTGTCCCTTGCTCTTGAGCTAATCTGGTTTGTTGGTTCCTCTATCAAGGAATCGGAGATGGGTTTTGTAACATTCTCTTTCCTAATCAATTGGGTAATATCCGATCGGATCGAAGGATTATATGACTCAAATGTTTGATCAGAATCAAAAAATTCTTCGTCGTCCTCTCTCTCAGCATCATCTTCCTGATCACTCTCATCTTCTTCATCGCAAATGCTATCATCATCCTCATCATCACTGCTTTGACAGTTCTGGTATCTGTGAGTTGCAGGGTACGAACCAGTGGTTGAGGTGGTCGAACACTCCTCGGATGAAGTGACGGACTGGCTCCCTGTAACAATCTCTTCTCTTTCATCATCACTTTCTTTGTTACTATCAGTCTCTGATAGATATTTTGAATCTCCATTAAAGGATTCATCTGAGTAGGTCTTCACAGTGAGATCAAAGGTGACTTTCTTCTGGACATTGAAGCTCTGGTTCTCATTTTTCTCTCTAGAAAAAGGATGGAGTTTTTCATTTTAGCTCAAACTCAAAGCAAGAATCAAATCAAACCCAAAACAAAAGAAACGGAACTCAAGATATAATGAAGAAATCTCTGTGACTCACCTAGCTTCCCGTACTGTAGGAATTGTTAGCTCTGTTATAGAAGGCTCAACAGAGATGGGTTTCTTGAGTGGTGAGTAGCTTCCATGGCTCTGCAACAAATTTACAAAGAAATAGTGATAAGAAACCAGAAATTTAAGAGATGTGGGAGAAACCCATGAAATGGGTTTGGGGAAAGACTGCTTACTCTCTGTCTACTCAATGTTTTGTTGTGGGGTTTCTTCCTCTTAGCATCTATAGAGCCAAAGCAAGCGAGAAAACACCCCATGAACACAGAGGGGATGAGATCTGCAGGCTTCTAACAAGTTGCAGCGCCAAGCATGGCGTATGAAGAGGGAGAGGGAGAGAGAGATAGAGATGTCAGAGCTGAAATATGGGGAAAAAGGGAAAAAAGAGGGAGAGAACTGGAACTGGAACTGGAACTGGAACTGGAGCTGGAGCCCTCGGTTCCTAAAGTTGTTTGATTCTAGAGCGAGAAACGAACGGTAAGTTCCACTTGCATTTGAAAAATATGACCGTTACAGTAATCATCGCTGGGAGCCTATCAGCTAACCGCATTTAAAAAGGCCAAAAAAGTTTTTTTTTTTAGTGTAAACTGAGCCGAAAGAGTAGCTGTTGGAGCTGTGCTTTTGGTGAGTTTCTAAATTTCGGCGAAATTCTTAAACTTTCGGATAAATTCTGAAAATTTAGCGAAGTTTTATGGAATTCGGGAGAAGTCCATTGGATTTAGGAGAAATTTTGCACGAAAAGGGTTCAAAATAGTTGGTTAAGCAACCCATCAGAATTCAAGCCCAAAATGTTTTAGTGGGCCTCCCTATCCACCGTTGATGTGGTCAATAAAATGTGGCGATAACATCACCCCAACTTAGGGGATCTCGAATTGGACGTTGGTGATTACTCTTCATATCCAACCCGGTTACATCTGGACCTTCGTTTTCCCAAAGAGCAAATTGTATATTTACTCCCAGTTATTTTTTTCAGTTTGGAATTTAAGGAACCACCCAAGAATTATTATTATTTTTTAAAAAATAATAATTATAATTTAAATTTTGATTTTTTTTGATACTTAGATTGATACAATCTTGATACTTAAATCTTGACTTTAAAAAATTGGAGGGTGTCTATTCAATCTTATGCATTGTTTTTTGGAAAAATTACATATATATCTGTTGTAGTTTCTGTTATTACCAAAAGACCAAATAGTTTCCGTTATTACTCGAAAGTCCGTGTTTTTCATTTCATAATGAAAATTTTAACAGAATAATATTTTTTTACCCTTTTTCTGCTTTTGAACAACTGAATTTCCGGGATTTTCGGTTATGCAAAAACCGCAAAAAAGCTAATTTCGGTTATTGAACAACTGAAAATAGCGGAGCTCGTTTAAACATTTATTTATTTATCAATGTAGAAAATACGAATGCAAATTCCAAGCTTTTTTCCTATTTTTGGTTGTTCAACAACCGAAAACAAGACATTTTCAGATGTTGAGCAACCGAAATGTCTTTTGGAATACGTAGTCCTATATTTTTGGTTGTTTAGGACATTGAACAACAAAAAATATCTTGTTTTCGATTGTCGAACAACCGAAAATAAGGATGCAAATTCTAAGCTTCTGTCCTATGTTTTCAAATGTTTAACAACCAAAATTGTTATATTTTCGATTGTTCAACAACAAAAAGTAAAGATGCAAATTCCAAGTTTCTGTCATATTTTCGGTTGTTCAACAACCGAAAAAGGATAAAAAATTCTATTTTTAAAAGTTTCATTATGAAGTGAAAAAAGCAGATATTATAGTAATAACGGAAACTATAACGTGTGTATATATATATATATATATATATATATAATTTTCCCTTAGTTTTTTCAAGTAGATAGAGAGTTCGATTTGGAGTTTTTAAGATTAGTATATCGGTTGAAAAAGTTATATTCGTAGATAATTTCTTGATACCTTATTTACCTAGGTCTTTGGAAAAATAAAGCGGTGTACCACTTACTATACACGAAACGTGTATGGATACCTTCCTTAAATGACAGTCGAAAAGGAAGTGAAGAATGAATATGTTACGCATAGTCATAGAATAGTGGGAATTTTCAGTTGTTACACCAGGAATTTTTAGTGCTTTGTGCATTTTACTGTTACAAAAAATAAAAAACGGAAAGGGCTGGTCTTTCTTCTTTTCTGTGACGTCAGCGACCGTTAACCTCACAAAAAAGGAAAATTTGAAATAAAAAATACAAAATAAAAATAAAACATAAAATAAAAGAACAATCGTTTCATGTGGGACGTACTGCATTTTTGTAATATTTGGTCTAGAGGTAGGTGGTTCATCTAAAAACAATTGTAACTAATGGTCCAAATGTTTTTTTTAATATAATTATTATTTTTAGTTTTCAAAAATTATTTATTTTTCATATTCATGATCTCCATGTTAAATATTATATATTCTCTAAAAATTAGGATCAAATTCTATTTAAAAAATATATTTATTGTCAAGCTTGCATTTCTACATGTGCAGGCTTGGCTGCATGCTAATCGCATCCAAAATTAAAGATTCACTCTTTTCTTTTCTTTTTCTTTTTTTTCCCCCCTCTTTATTGTTTTTTCAGTTTTAGAAATGGGAGCCTCATTAACGTTGGATGAGGTTTCTCTAAAGCCTAGGCTTTTTTTTTTTTACCATCAATAATGCTTAGGCTTTATGAAATTAAAATAAAGCCTTACTTCAAATCCTCATTCAGAAAATATTTTCGACGATTGAAATCTCTACGATGGCTCTAAAATCAATTTCTAACACCAACAATAATTTTAAAACTAAAAAAATAATATAGATTTTACGGATCTTTCGTCCATGTATATTGTGAGGCCAATGACAAAGCAGACTCTAGTAAAAGCAAGGGTCGTTATTCCTTCTCTAGTAGTTAATTCTACACCTGAGTTGTAATGTCCTTGATTGCATCCAATTAATAAAATAGAAGTATTATTGTCAAAAAACATTTACTTTTAAAGAAAAATAGACGATTTAGAAAATTTAATATAATATATATTATTTTTAGATTTTGAAATCTTTTTTTGTCACAACCATAATGTCCAAGTCGAGATGATTGATATAAAGGTTTTCTAATTCTTTATTGACAATTTTTGAGGACGAGATTATCGATGTAATGGTTTTTCAATTCTTTACTTGCAAATTTTGATGAGTTATGATTGAAAATTTACTTATTTTGATTGGGCTGCAGCAGCATTTTCCATTAACGTTTTTTACCATTATTTAGTGATTAAAACTAGGAACCCTTTACCTCACAAGTTAAACATTATGAAGCTTTCATTATGGAAATAACCTAGCTGTTATTTTTCATGGGCCCTATCCATGGGGTACATTAGATAACGGATATTATTACTCCACGGTTTCTCTTTGAGATGGAGTTTTTGGATTCAAATGAAGTCCCTCCTCCAAAATTCATCTTTGCTATTTGCGTTAAATAGCGGTAACTTTTTGTGATTTTTATCTTTTGGATGTTGAATAGCTAGGGACCATTCTATCCTCTTGATGTGTTTAAGATCTCTTATCTCGTTGAACCCTCTCACCTTCTTTCATTTTCATTCAAATAGAGTCTTTCCAGCTTGTACCAATTAAACTTAATAGTATATTTAAAATGAAAGATTTGGGTTTCTTGAGGTATTTTTTGGGTTTAGATGTTGTCTATTCTCATCTTGACTTTCTATTGTTACAAAGAATAGACAAACTCTCAATGATTCCTTTTAAATCAAGCTCCAGTTTGTTTCCAAAACAAACTCTTAATGATTCCTTTTAAATCATCTCGAGTTTGAGGGGGAATGTGAACAGATATGGCAAATAGATATTGAGATCTCTCAGTATCTAATTAGATGCTAAGCCTATATTAAAACTGTATCCTATAGGTTTTAGTAAGTATTGGTTGTACCCTCTCTATAGATCCCTCTCTATAGATCCACAATTGTATTATAATCTATTTCAATTCATTGAATACATAGAACGATTGTATCTCACAACCCCAACCTCAAGAGGGGACTCTTACAAGACTGGAATGCTATGTGATCATACATTCTATCATTCTTTGTTGTGGCAGAGCACTACTGGTCATAAAACGTATGCTTATAAAGTTTTTCATTATTCTTGTAAAGTTTTGTCTCGCGCCAATTGTGCTGGTGGGATTATAACCAATCATGAAAATAACACACAGAGGGAAAAATCGCTCTTAAATTTTGTATAATGAAATAAATGGTTTTGTACAAAAACTGGAGTTCATGAGGAGTTATAGGGACTTTCAATTCTTGTTACATTTTACATCAAGTCTCTATATAGATCAGAATACCCTTGATTTGGGTCTTGAGGCATATACAAATCTACAAAAAGAAAATAGATAGAGAAAATGGAAATGATCAGTGCAAGAGGCATATAATGCACTTATACTTTGATATATGTCGGGGTACTGCCCACACTCTACTCCTTCTCATGACTTGGACTTCAAGTGATTCTGTAATATCATGTTTCCTTCTCTGTATATGGTGTTATACACAAGAGGTAAGGGCAAGCGCATCAATCTCATCTCCGATTCGTCGATTGAAGCTGCACAGGCAATCTCAAGTTAGAGAGTCGAGTTCGAGGTGAGGCTAGCATCAAACGAAAAGCAAGGTGGTGGAGGGGAGTAGGCTCCTATGATTTAGCACCTTGAACGACAACCCTCGAAGCTAAATAAGCCTGCCTGAACCAGTAACCAAGGACATCTTAGTTGCCTAGGCACCAATCCGTACATGTTCCTCTGAGTATCCTCTATTCAAAGAGAAGAAATGTGGTTGGATATAATGCTACTTCATAAGGATCTACCTCACAAAATTGAAAAAAAAGGGAGTATTTACTATAGAACCGCTTCGTCTATCTAGAAAATGGAATGGACAATTTCTTATGTATCAAACCCTCAGTATTTCATTGGTCCATAAGATTAAGCAGCAAATAAATCTCAGGGCTTGTCTCCATGCTAGGGACTGTAAGAAATCATAATATGTCACTCGCATGAGGATATCTCTATGTAGTATACTATCAAGTCGATTAGTCCCCTCTCCCCATTACATTAATGAGATTTTTATAGAGGTTTTGATTAGATAGACACGGAAGTTGGTACTTATCGAAAATCTAATTGGCTACAACCAACTCTCTCATAGAGTGAATGGACAAGAGAACATTCAATCTATATTCAATTGAATGGGATTAAAGTGGTTCGAGTTGATAGGTTTTAATCTTTTTTAAAATTTAAATCCTTTACAAAATTGAATTTAAACCCCATATTGCTCTTAATTTACCTCGATGAGGTATGAGAAAATCAAGGGAAAATAATTATCTGCACTCATCGTCAGTTAAACTAGTGTGCAATTTTGCCATATTTGCATTCAATAGATGCTACTTTCTGAACGAGGATTATTTGAACTTGAAAATTTTTATAGTGATATACGACTGAGTCTCTCCTCAATGAGTCAGTAATGAGGGAGATATGGTTGGGATCAATCCCTAATTATCATGAGTGGACCTCTGGGCAAACAACGGATTTGGATGAGGGAGTATTAGATGATGTCCAATTTATATGATTCTTAGATCAAACATGCATGATGCCTTCTTTTTTTTATGAATATATGCAAAGTTCTATCTCATTATGATACAATTTGATAAGGTTTCACAAGGTCAGGTCATATAACCCATCTCTGATGAACAATGAATATAAAGACATATCAAATAACACTTAAATTCTTGCAATATCACGTGGAGAGGCATATGAAAATATAAGTGAGGCATATGAGAATATAAGTCCCAGAGTTTGGTCTAATATGAGTAGTTTTTATGAAGGACCAGTTGTCTATTAGGATTTAAGAACCCTCTTAGATGCGGAAACAATAATCCCAAAGTTTGATCCTACTAAGGTGGATCAGTTGTCTATTAGGATTTAAGAACCCTCTTAGATGCGGAAACAATAATCCCAAAGTTTGATCCTACTAAGATTGTGTATTTATCCGGCTAGAAACAAAATAGGAAAAAGTATGAGCCATAATATGAGAAATAGTATGAGATATATGAGAAATAAAGCATGAAACACACATGCCACAAGAACACAAAGATTTACGTGGGATGATCACCCCAATAGGGCTGTATCACAAAGATTTAAGTGGGATGATCACCCCCAATAAGGCTACATGGCAAACTAAAATATACTATACCAATGAAAGTTACATTACAAATTTATCCACTATACCAATGAAAGTTACATTACAAATTTTGGGACATAGAGTTACCTCTATAACCTTTGACAAAACCGAGTCGAGTAAAACTCTTTTAGACTAGCTCTCCTGATTGGCATGATCCGTGGATCTCTCACATCTATTTTACAGCTAAACCAATATCTAGGAAGAGACTTATCTTTATTCCACAGGTATACCGTTGTACACGAAGGTACCTTTGAGAGCAATCGAGATTTTTTCTCACTAAAAAGGAGAAACCACCCAAAATCATCATAGGAACTGCATTTCTACAAGAAACCAATCTCTCAATTGACAGGAGGCACATCCGTGATGTTTCTCTTCATTGGAAGCTCTCTGCTTTCTAACGAGAGGTATATGAAGCTCTCTTCTCTCTAAGGGGAGGCGTTGCCTCTAGAGCAGAGGAGGCCCTGCATCTCTCTTTAGAGGAAGCTACCAAATAGGATACACAAATTTTCTGAACTTTCATTTCATATATCTAAGGTTAGGAGTCTACACCAAAATAGTAAACTTCCTATAGGTGTTACCTATATCTCAAAAATCAAGAGAAATATCCAAGAGCCTTAATCTTTTTGGATTTCTATTTCCTTAATTCATCAATATCAAACCCAATCCCAGATAATACAATCCCAAATAATATGGGAGTTTGTGGTGTTAGGTGATTTTGGATAATCATTATATCCAACATTGTCAAGATGTATATGGTATTGGATATTAAAGTTTTTAAGGCATATTAGTGCCTTGCATGGAAGTCCGATAAATTCATTGTATTGGATAAGGTTTTTTTTATTTTTATTTTCATTTTTTGGTAATTTAGTAGAGAAGACATGCCCCTACCTATTTTTTCAAATAGTTTAAGAAAGATGGTGTCAGTAGAAATGAAAACCACAATGTAGTAACTAAGATATAGGGATGCTATCACCACGACCCCTACCCCCTTTCCCGGATAAGGGTTTGAAGTTGGTTAGGGAGCTCAATCGTCCTGGGATAATTATTGAGAGTGACTCTCGTTTATTAGCGGCTTCTTTGATTTTCAAAACCTGATTCATAGCCATTTGTAGCAACTTAATGAGCCCCAAAGGTCATTCAATTATGTATTATCGTGAACGTAATTAGATCGCAGATGCACTAGCAAAGCAGGGGGTTTAGATTATTAGAAGCTACGATTTGGGTTGTTCGGTCACCTTTGAGGCTCTAAACAATCAAAATAAAACGTAAAGTTGGGATTCAACTGGTGAAATCTGGTTCGGAAGTTGACGATCCAAACATTATGTAAAATTTCTCCCTAGATATCCTTATTCAGGGTGCAAAGTACAAAATTGAAAAAATTCCGTAATATTTTTGCAAGGGGTCTATTGACGGCTCGGTTTGTTCTGCTGTGTGCCAAGCTGAGCACGGCTGCCCCGGTTCGGCTTGCCGGGAGTGTAATGGTTAAGATTGAAAAAATTCCCATAATTTTGTAAAGAACCGAATCAGATCCCATTGTATCTTATTTGTAGCTGCCCAAACTAGTTCTACCTTTGTAACTAATCTGCAGTAGCCCATTCTTGTCCCTTTGCAACTAATTTATAACAACCCAAAGATGAATATAACGCATCACTCATCCCTGTTGTGGGTAACAATCACCTTTCTTTCCTCACACCATTGTCTACGCCCAAAGTCAAAGAATCTGTCCCTCGGACATTTTTTAAATAACTGGCATACCCTAGTTGAAAGTATTCATGACCCTAAATGTGTCAATTATTAATGGCCCTAAATGTAACAGTTTCATTGTTTACAAGCCAATTAAAAAGAACAATTGTTTCATGCAGCCGGGCTGTACCGCATTTGTACAATATGCGGTCCGGAGGTATAAAGCATCCATCTTAAAGATTGATGCAAATAGGTGGTCCATTTTAAAACAATTGTAACTAACGGTCCAAATGTTTTCTTCGTATAATTGTTATTTATATTTATCAAAATTTATTTATTTTTCATACTCATGATCTCCATGTTAAAGATTATATATTCTCTAAAATTAGGATCAACTTATATTTACAAAATATATTTATTGCCAATCTCGCATTTCTACATGTGCAATAATAAAAAACTTTCTATGTATTTGGAATTAAAACAATGGCAAGAGGCACCGGAAGTCAAGTTCTTTTAATATAATTTCTTTTAAAAAAACTAGATAAGAAGAAAAGAGTGTAAAAAAGTCAATCCCACAAGAAACATTTGCTAACCAATAAGGAATGAAAGATAAAATGAGCATTGTAATGCTCACTAATTGCTTCTCATATCATACTTAAGTTTTTTGAGGTCTTTTCCATTATTGTAGAATACATATGGAGAATATTATGAGAAAGCGTGGACCAAATTTATGGTACGAAGGACCCCATATTAAGGTTGTGGATTGTGGTCATAGACAAATGGGAGGAAACCTCTATTTAGAGCAAAGCTCCAAACTTTTTGTAGATCAAGCATTGTGTCCCCACATTCGTGTGTCTCCCATCCTTCCAAAGCGTGCAAAATTCCACCAACTCGCCATGCACTCATCACCCTCCTTGGAAGCCAATTCTACATCACATTTACACAAACCATAAGCTAAGATATGACCAGGAAATTTCACTAATGTGAAAAACTTTGAAAATGAGTATAGATTGATGTACTATAATAGAAGATCCAATCCATCTAGAATTCCAAATTAAATGTAACTTGTGCTACAAATGTATATTCTTATAATGGGTTGGCAATGCAGCAAAACATTACTTGGTTTTAGTGCAAATTTGAATGCTTAACCACAAGCTTTTTTAGGTAGGTGGGGGGGGGGGGGGTTAAGGAACTGAGATGTGAATTTCTAAATGATTCTCAGCCCTCATAGATCCTCAACTAGATACTGATCTACTATTTTTGTTCAAAACTAAGAACAATAATGCTTGTTTGGTTTTTTGTGACCTCCTTATACTAAAAGTACATAGTTTTATTCTATATATTTCCTTTCATTAATGAAATCAAACGGAAAAATTTTGAAAGATATAAAAGCGTTGAAACCACGTATCTCAACAACATGAGAAAGAATGATCATTATAGGGGTTTTTTTTAATAATATTTTGGCCCATATCTTTCAATCGGAATGTCGGATTTGAGTTTTCTTGGAACATGTGTATTTCTTATTGTCTAATTTAAAATGGTCAAGGTCTTGGGATGCTTTGGTTAAGGGGTTGATAGGATACTCTAATGTGTCTATCGAGGTCTCTTATGGTATATTTTCCAAGGGTTTGGGTTGGAACTTTAGGTTGTTCTAAAGGGTACACAAAGAAATGAGTCGATGGTGGTATTAAGGTCGAAAACTACTAAAGCACGAATAAAATTTGAGAGAAAATTTAAATAGTTACCTCACAAGAGTGCATGTTCTCCATATTGGATGGTACTGTCATGGCAGGGGTGGACAAATAAATGCAGTCCTTGCGCATCATCTTGAGAGGAAACTATGAAAAAGGAATATACAATGTACCCTTGGGTGCATTTTTCTCATCATTCATTCCATCTCCCACTAACCATACCTACAAAAACATTAATCTTTTCAAGCAGTGCTTGATTTGGCTCTATATTTAAGAAGAGTTGTCGTTAAGGCTTTTGTTAGTGTAGTCTTACACATAGAGTATTTCTTTAACATAATTTTTTACACTTAACATCCTTACTCCATAATGTAGTAACTTTATTGGGTAATTAATCAAGAGTAAAATATAATTTTTGATAGAAAGAAAAATATTTAATAATTATAATGGAAAATGACATCACCTATATGAAACAATTATTGATTTTGGACAACTAATAGAATCATTTCTATGACTCTTAATGATGAAAATACACTTAAAAATTTTATAGCACAAAGCAAAAGTACAAGGTGTCCAAAAATGTTGAATACAGTAAAAAAAAATATGGCTAAGAAGCCGTAACAAAACCCTCGTAATATGAACCACATTTTGACTCTATAATTTGGTGAAGTTACAAAAATATGGGTGTTGAGCAATGTTCGAGTTTGGAGCACCCTCTTAGGTTTAAATATAATAGTGTTAATCTATCATGTGGTAAAAACAAGTTCACTTGTGCTCGTGCTATTTGTGTTTGGGCCCTATTTTGCAACATTTTCCAAACAAGCGAGGTCCACAATTGGATAGACGCATACATGTAGCGAAAGTATTCATAGACAAGTGGGATAAAAGAAGCAACATAATTTCTGTCTGTCATTTGAATTTGGGTGCGGTTTGTATAGAACCGAGGCGCTAAACAATCAAAGTAAAGAGCACATTTAAATAGTGTCGAGAAATGTGGTTTCAATATTGAAAATCTTTTGTGATATCCTAAAAATATATTTTTGTCTTTAATTATAAAATTTAAAGCTTCAAAATAGTGTAGATGGAGCATATCTATGACAACTTGAAAATCTTGAAATTGACGGTCCAAAAATGCGTTATAAGATGCACTATTTAAAAAATTTGAAATCCATTTTTTTCTCATGTTCATGCATCTTGATGTCGAGATGAGGATATTTGAACATCAAAACAACCTCTTCTAGTGAAATTTTTTTTGAGGTAGGTTCTAATTTGATTGTTTAGAGAACGAGAGAAAAAATGAGGGGAGATGTTTAATAACAATAATAACAGCAACAACAACAATAATAATAATAATAATAATAATAATGGCGACAACCAGCAATGTTTTGGTTGTTACCTTGCAATAAATTCCAGGAGCATAAATAAGGTTAGCTTGATGTTGTAGGGAGATTCGCATCCTCAAATTTTCAAGCTGATCTGGGCACTCAGTAATAACCTATTTTCCATCATTATAAACAAATTCTTATTAGTCTGTAAATTATAAGAAAAAAAATAAGAAATAAGTAAGACTGCATTTTCCTTAGAAAGGAACAACAAAGAAATTTTATGATAGAGAAAAATTCAATCAATTTACTGAAAATTAAAAAGAAAAGGAAAACAACCAATGCATAAGACTCTATGGGAGAGAGGAAAAATTGACTTACACAAGAGATTTAATTAGATTAGAGAGAAAATCCTGAAGCTATGAATTTAAGATACACAGGATTCAAGATTGAGTGAGAAAGGTTGAAACCTTTGTGCCTCTCTTGCACAAGGCCATGGCAACGGCATAACCCGTTTTTGAAAGGTGACCTTGGATTAAGACTTCATTTGTGTCTCGAGGAATTGAGTTTAGTACGCATGCAGCAGCAAGCATGCATCCATCCACTACCTTCATTTTTCGACCTTTGAGCCTCACAAGATTGAGCTCCCCATTTCCATTGAGAATTTCATCCTGTTTCAATCAATGACATAAGAGAGAGAGAGTGACTTCTCTTCTTCCTCCTCCTTACAAGCCAAAATCATTAATTTTATGGTTTCCTCCAAAAGAGAGACGATCGTTAGAAGGGTTTCGGGATTTATTCATTCCTCTCAGCTACTCTCAAGGTTATTTTTTATAGGCATTGTGACAATGTGAAAGAGAAATGATTGACGGTAGGCGAGGGGTCTTGCCGATGATTAGTCAGAGGGACATCCCTTGGAGCCCAAGAGAAAGTGGATTTCGACTTGCCAAGTCTTTGGATCTAGCCCACTTTTGGTGAATGACAATTATCTTTTATTTTTTTTTTGGTTTTCTCTTGTATTGCTTTAGTTTGTTACCTATTTTGTCGTTGTATTTAACATCGAGCTGACAAATGGAAATGTTCTAGAGTAGGATCCTGGCATTTACTCTAGATCCTGGTATTTGAGGTTCCAAGACCATGAACGAAGGGTTCCTGTGTTTACTACAAATTTTTCATTTATTTTAAATATTTCTCAAATGTTTCAGTGACATTTAAAAAGAATCCTCATTCGTTTGTAAATTCTAACTCATGTATATAGTTCATTCCTTGCTTTCAAATTTTTCTAATTTTTTCCCATAATTCCTCTTTTTGGATATTGCTATTAGTAAAAGGGGACGAAATTATATGTTATGGGAATTAGGCTTAGATTGGTCATCGTGTTGAGGTTATGAAAACTTCTTCCAATTTTGAATATAAACTAACCTAAATAAATAAAAATGAAATATAGTCTAGTATATGTAATTAGTTGGGAACATGTAATTAGGTGGGATAATGTTTGTATAAGGTGTCAACTTTACACTATTGAAGTAAGGTGTACCTCAAAACTATGTTGAAAATGCAATTTCAGGACCAAATATATTATGGCCCCCTAATTATAAAATTTTAAAATTTAAAAAGAGTGACAATCAAGCAGATCTATAAACACTTGAAAGTTTTGAAAATGGACACTCCAAATAATGGTTAAAAGATGAACTATTTTTAGGACCAAAAATCTCTTTTTCTTTTATATGAATCTCAAGGTTGAGATGATTGATTTGACGGTTTGCCAGCATAAAAACAACTTTTTCTAATGGGTTTTTAGGTGCACCTTACTCATACCGTATAAGGTAGACACCTTGTATAAACCTTTTCCAATTAGGTGGGGCAACCTACAAATTTTTTTATTTTAATATTTTCCCATCATCTTTGATTCACGTTGTGAGCAATTCCAGCAAACAAAAAATTCTTTTACACATGAATCCTAAGATCAAGCATCGCTCTAATACATGGTCCAGACTCGTCGGGTTTTTTAGTTGGACAATTTTTTTATCTCAATATCATTTATTCTTTAAAGTAATTCTAGGGATGAGTAATGATATCAAGAAACTTTTAAGTCTTAACTATGATTAAGAAGCAACGGGTTACGGGCCTATAGAAGAAAAAAGATATTGCTAATATTTTTCCTTGTAAGTTGTCCGATTTTATATGTTAGAACGTTCATACACCATATGTTTTTTTTCAATAGAAAAGTATAGAATGAGATTATTTATTTCATTGACCAAGCTTAAAGTTCAAAAGATTTTTTTTCGAATTTTATGACACACACAAACTATCAGATTTCACATTGGATGGTTGTAAGTAATTGTAACCTCCCTATTCCAAAAATGGTCTCAATGCATAGAATCCCTTTTTCTATTACTATATTCATTGTGGATGAATGAGAAGGAACTCACCTGATTTAGAAGCCCTAGACTTAGTACTTTGGCACCTCTTTTTTCTGCCTCAATTATAGCATCCTCTATCAATTTGTTGATTAGTGCGTGTTGCGATTTCAAAGAATACTGGTAGTCAAAAGACAAAGAAAGTTAACAGCCTGTGAAAAATATAATTTACAGTTCCATTACTAGAGATTATGTTTTATAGTAATATCACCTTTCATTATGTGAAATAGTGGTGGTAGCACCCCACACCTTAGTTCACCACATTGTGGTTTTTATTCCTACCATTAACACTACCCAATTAATACCTTGAAAATGCTAACTCTTAATCTACTTGCAAAAATGGGTTAGGGACTGTCTTCCCCACTGAATAGAAAAAAAAAAAAAAGAAAAAAGAAAAAAAAAAGAAAATAAAAAAGAAAAGAAAGAAAAAACAATAAATATGCTTTTGCAATGCTCAAACAAATATGGGAATAAATATTCAAATGGATTACGATGGAAAAACTTTCTCAATCAATAGTTCGGTTTACATTGACTTGCAATTGTCTAATATTAAATAGGTATACGATTATATAACCCTTAGGTCTTATAAAAAAAGGAAAAAGTTTATATGGAACCGAGGTTCTAAATGATCAAATTAGAGCCCACCTCAAAAGTTTAACAAGAAGAGATTGTTTTGATGCCCAAATATTTTCAAATTGATAATCTCTAAAACAAGAGGCATGGACATGGAAAAAAAATTGATTTCAAGTTTTAGATATAGTGCATCTTGCAATGTATTTTTGGACCAGCAATTTTCAAGATTTTCAGGTTTCATAGATCTACTTGATCTACACCATTTTTGAAGCATGAAATTTTATAATTAAATATGAACATATATTTTAAGGTGATTAGAAAGATTTCAAATATAGGAATCACATTTCTCGATGTTATTTGAAGGTGCGCTTTACTTTGATTGTTTGTAGCCTTGACTCTACACAAACTGCACCCTATAGAAAATAGTAAAGGCGCACTTCAATATCCTGCCTAAAAACACTCTTATGATGATAGAAACCCCTCAAAATGTTCATTTTGCATTCAATAACAATCGATATGAAAAAAATTAATTTTATGTTGCAAGAATAGTGCATCTTGTAACATATTATCTAGATGGACAATTTTCATGTGTTCATGAATCAATCATATCTGCACCACTTTTGAGCTTCAAGTTACATATTCAGGAGCAGAAAAGATTTTTGGCCCATCATATTACATTAGGTTTCTTAGATTACAAAGAAATTCAATTTTTTGTTTAAAACATAACTTTTATCATTATATTCTTAGCATAAAAGAACTTATAAACAAGATGCATCACCTGGAAGGAAAACCTGGGAATTGCCCATGTTTGAATGTTGAGTTTCTCCAATCTGTTCTTCTCGACAGTAAATGTACGATCGAAAATCCACATTAGCGACATTAATCCAACGGTGATTGGCCAAAGTAACCATAGATACCATTTGGGATCTTGGGGTTGAGCAGCCAAACAGGCAAAACCTAGGCGCATTTGGTAGATAGAGTGAAGGGTAGTTGGATGAGTGAGATGGACAACATCTATGGCCTCCTCTCTCCCCTCTATAGCACTCTCATATACAGCATCTGTAGACATGTCAGCTGTATTGTATATGTAATCATATACTGGCATGAAGAGACAAAAGTTGGTGTGGACTCTTGAGTGATGAAGTGAATGGAACCTGTTATATGAGAATTAAAGAGAGCTCTTCTTGTAACTAAAAGGAAGGGTTAGATCTAATGTAGAAAAACAAAGACCCAATGGAGCCATTGCTATTTTTAAGCAAAGGGATACAATCCAATCAAATTGAACATTTCCTAAGTATACTACTCATATTGTATCTTGGGATTTTATATTATAAGGCTGTTCCTTTATATTACAAGGTCACAATCACCAACAACGGTTAAAAGTAAAATTCGGCTAAGTGCGTACCACAAAGCTCATGAAATTTTTTTCCTGGACTTTTAAGTTTATCAATTGCACACCCCCAGCCTCTTGATTCCAGATCGAATGAGTATGGGTGACGGTGATCGTTTTTTAGCAAGAATAAATAATCTTACTGTATATTTTTCAAGGATTTGCTGAGCATCAACTTGAAATAAAACTTTTTGATCCCTTTTCAAAGAAATTTGGAGCATAAAACGTCCCAATTTGTTTTTTGGGAATACAACACTTCATCATGTCCCAAGAGTAATAACAAAAGTGGATCACAAAGTGACGATTACGCCTCTTCATTACCCAAAAAAAAAAAAAAAGCTTTGAGCCAAATGTAATTTACAAAATAAAACTATGGGAGTCTAAATTTTTTCCCCTTAAGTATTAATGACTCATTAGAAAACGACAAGGTGATTAACTCCCTTTTAGTGCCTTTAACAAGCGGGGCCTTGGCCATGCTAGACCTAGCCCTTGCTCGGCCCTGTACCCCTAAGGGCCAGATCAGAACTGGCCAATAATGAAATAAGGGCCGGGCAGGGCTGAGTTAGGCTGGCCCTGTCTTGGCCCTAGGCCCAAACCCATGTTTTTAGGGTCGGGCTTCCTGGCCCATTGCTATCCCTACTCATTTTAAGAAGATGCCTATTTGAACACCATTCAAACTCATAAATTTGTTTTAAGAGGTAAGGAACTTACGATGGAGTATACATGATGTAGTTGAGGAAGGGAAAATGTTGAAAGAGGCACTTTGGGATGAACTCGTAGTTGCAATGCCCCATATTATTCATGAAATCGATATATGTAATATAGGCAGCCAAGGAAATAATAGAGGCGGTCCTTGTGTAGAGCGTTGTTAAAAGTGCTATTGCAAACAGGAAGGAGTATAAGATATGTTCTGCGAAGGGATGCACCACCGCTGCTCAAACAAACATCAAGCATTAGTCTATATGCATTCATGCAAGTGCCAAATTCATGCTCCTAAGGGAGCGCACTGTACGAATGTTACATAACTTGCCGGAGTCTTTTCGGACATACGGTTATTATTGTTTAGGCACATACCGGCTTTTTCATTCTTTGTCGCAAGGTAGTGGAAGTCCAAATTGAGCGAGGTGATTTTGCAGAGAGAGAGAGAGAGAGAGAGAACTTACATGTGATGGGCTCGGTGACCACGGAGGAATGGTGATGGGAGTGATAACGAGAATAAAGGAAGTGGTGGTGAAGTGCCCTGTGTGCCCAATAATATAAGAACTCAACAGGCCCAATGTGGCAAATAATGGTTATGATCACTCCTTTGATGTTCCACAGGGGCAGGTTGGATCCCCCTGGAAAATATAAGCTCCCCAAATAGAACAATATGCCATTGAATATAACCTGGTCATCCCTGCCAAATTCCTTAACAAATAAATTGGTAGCCCTCAACAGATATAGAGTCCTGCAAATGAAAATGTTTTATTTATATTTCCCGTGAGACCACAACTTATATTTGGTCCTGCACACAAATATAAGTTTGAATGACCCCAAAACCCAGAAATCGTCTTTAATGTCATATTTTTACTATAAAATTGATGTCAAGAAATTTCTATTAATCAAATGTCACTCCAAGTTTAACCATGGAATGTCCATTTGGAGAAGTATCCCATCCACATGATGTGGACGGGGCGGGGTGGTAATGGTTAAGATTTCACTAACCTCTATCTAATGAGCACAATTGACTTAATATTTGATTTTTGTTTTTATTAAAGAAAATATTTATTTGAATTTTGAGATGTAGGTTTATTTCTATAAAAATATTAAAACATATGTTAAATAAAATTGAATAAAGCTCCCTAAAATCAATATTTTTATTCAAAATGTTTTTTATTTTTTTATTTAATTTAAAATGAGGCTAAAACCCAAATTTCAAATCAACAACATTTTTAAATAAAAATAAAATTATTGTTAGGCATGAGATAAGGATGTGTGTGTGTGTACACTCTTCATCTCAATAATCAATCCCAAGAAAAAAAAAGTTCAATTTGAAACCTAGATATGGTCAAAATGAGTCCCCTCCAACCACAAATCTTGACCATTCATTTGATGAATTCCAAGATTTTAGCCTTTACAAATTCAAAATCATTTTTTTCTTTTTAACATTGTTCATCTAATGATAATAAAGCTATCTAAAAAAAATAAAAAATAAAAAATCCTTCTAAAGCCAAGATCTAAGTATCTTATCAAAATGGATGACATATTTTAATTGGGTTCAAAAAATACTTTTTAGGTTATGG